TCCAAAATCGAACTTCTCTCGCTCCCGGCCTGCCCGAGTCCATGGCCCCATAGCTCAGTTGGTTAGTGGGTCGTGCTAATAACTTGGCCGTCGTCAGTTCGGTGCTGGCTGGGGCCAGCCTTGCTTTTCGCCGGGGGCTTCTCTTTTCCCGCCTCGCACGTCCCCCGGCCGATCCTCCCTGTCGCGAGGAGCAAGCAGCGCCCCACCTGGGCCTCAACCCCCCCCCCCCCCCCCCCGTCTCCGCACCACACCCCGGGCCCTACACTGGGGCGAGAGCGGGGAGTCTACCATGTACAGGCGAGGGGCCGGGGAGTGCGCCCGGTAATAATAACAATAATTAGTCCCGCCGGGGGGCGGGCCAGAGAGATGGGACGTCCCGCGCCCTCCCACACTGCGTGTGTCGCCATAAACCGTCTGCGAGGGGACCACATGCGGCGGCCGGCCGATCATTAGGGCCCCCCTTTATCTGTGGGTGTCCGGGTCTGCACCCTTCCACACCCGGGCCGGGGCGGGGGACCGCCAAAGGGACACACGGCAGCAGGGACACCCCTCCGTCAGATGGAGACCCGGGGGAGAGCGGCACCCCCACATGCGAACATGCCCGCTGCTCACACACGAAATATAACGGCGCGTTCGGGTCCCCCCCCCGGTCGGCCCCGGGCAACCCGCCTGTTGGCACGCGCGCACGCGTCCGCATGTTGGGCGTGGCGGCCCTCATGCGGTACACCCGGGCCGAGGCTCGAGAAAGATCACACCCGGCGCCCGGGCCTGGAGCATCACAACTCCTGCCCCCGGCGAAGGAGACTTGGCGTCCTATCCCTGCCTGCGCCCCCCCCCCTCCCTACCCCCCCTGCCGCTCTCGTCGGCTGGGGAACTCTCGGGCCGAGAACGGTGCGGGGCACAGGGGCTGGACCCTTTTGGGCGGGAGGAAAAAATATTCTGACCACGATGCGGCTCGAACACACAACCTCCTGATCCGTAGTCAGGTGCTCTATCCAATTGAGCTACGCGGCCATGATTCCGGGGATCATTTATTGTCTTAAGTTCGCGCGCGCGCCCGCGAAGCGTGACCTCCTCTTCTCACCCCCCCCCCCCCCGGCCAGGGTCGGTCTCTAACTGGCGAACGCAAGGGAGCAGAGGGATGATACAGGCGGCGAGAAGATGCACAGGCATGCTCCCTCAAAGGTAGCCAAGGCGACGGATGGCCTTCAGCTGCGCCGGGATCTCCATCAGAGCATGCAGGGCGAAAGCCGAGTCCGGATAGGCCGGGTGCTTTTTCATGATCTTGTGGAAGTTCACGAACTGGAAGTTGTCAAACCGACGGCCGGGGATATCGTCCTTAAAGTGCCAAGAGGAAGCAAGACCGGCCCGGAAACCGCGAACGAAGTTGCGGATCAACCAAAGGGAAGAAGCAGGAGCAGCAGCCATGTTAGCATGAAGCCAGGGAGGGAGAGCCGGACAGGTGGGCGATCACCAACCGCCCGCCGTCCTCGGTGAGGGCACAAAAGGTCCGCCGTACGTAGTACTTCATCTGGTCCCACGGACCGTCACCAACGCCGACCACCACAATGCTCAGCGGGTAGTTGGACGCCTCGATAATGGCGTCGCGCGTGCGCTTGACATTGGACACCTGGCCATCGGCCACGATAACCAAGATGTGATACTGGGCGCATCGGAGCGGGCGACCCGGGAGGAGGTGGCCATTCCTTGTCAGTAAGCCGTCACCAAGAAGCACAACCCCAAGGGCCAAGGCAGGGAGGAGGGCCGAGAGTCAGCAGCCAGGCAGCCCCGAAAAGGGGAAGTCTCATACCTGGTTGCGATTCTGCCGGACAATTTCCAGGGCCACATTGATGGCAGGCGCAAAGCACGTCGGGCCGGACATCTGAACATGCGGAGTCACATCGATGTAGCGCTGCATGACCTCCTGGAAGGTGTGGCATCCGCGCGGGTCCGAGTGGATGGGGAAGACGCTGGCGATGGGGTGGGTGGGGGGGGCCGGGCCGAGGTAGGGGGAGGGGGGGGATGGTGGGAAGGTGGGCGGTGGGGGCATGGAGATGGCCATAGGACGGGGGTCGTCTGAGGTGGAAGAGGAAGCGAGGAGGGGAGGGGGGGGGGAAGGGGGGACCCGAGGCCAGCCGAGAAGAGGTCCCAGAGAAGGGCAGGGAAGCCGCACGCACCCGATGTCAGCGGTGTTCACATCACCGAAGCCATAGGCCGGGATGATCTTATCCTCATCGAAGCACTCTAGACAGGCGGAGGGGAAAGAGAAAGGGGCAGGGGGAATGGGCAAGGCAGATGTGTCAGGGGAAAGGCCGGGAGGGGGACATGTCGGACTGTCTGCCGGTCGACCCTGGCGCACCAAGCGTCGACCCGATGATGCTGATTGCCTGTTGGTAGGGGTTCAGCTGATCGCGGTTCGGGTCCAGCCAGTGCAGGCACCGGCCACCGAAGGACTCCTGGCCGGTCTGCAAGTTGGAGGCCGTGTAGTCGATGGCGAAGATGAGGTTCGAGGACTCGAGGTTCGCCTGGCGCAGGGCATTCTGCACATCCTGCAGGGTCCGATACTTGTCGGCTACATCGGAAAGGGGTGAGACGAAGGCAGAGGGGAGGGGAGAGAGCGGAGCCGGCGCAGGGGCAGGCGCAGGGAGGCAGAGGCAGGGAGGAATGGCAAAGGACACAAGGGAATAAGGAGGGAGAGCAGGCAGCCCGCGCCAAGGACAGGAGGGGGGACGGGGGGGGCGGGGATGCGGAGGAAAAAGGAGGGCTGGTGTGGGCAACATCATACGGCCAGGCGTGGCCTGCCAAATATATAGGCTGCCCCTGTTGCCACGATCAGCTGGCGCGGGAATAAGTGCATACAATCAGGAAGGCAGCGGCGCCCTCCCCAAGAGCCAGAGATGCGTTGTAAGTTCCCTCAGCGGCCCCCACGAGCCCTCGAGTGTCCTCCCACGGGAAAGGCGGCCTGTGGTCTGGGCGAAGAAAAATACCAGCTAGAGATGGCGATTTGGGATCGATCTGATCGGGGGAGCGGGAATGCCGTCGGCCGATCGGCCGGTGGGGGAGGGGCGCAAAAAAGGAAGGGTCTGTCCGAACCAGGACTCGAACCTGGGACATTCTGTGTGTTAGACAGATATGATAACCATCTACATCATTCGGACACAAGAGGCCGATGGCCGAAAGCCCCCATATTCCACGGCCTTGATGGTTATGGAGGTTTGTCCATGCCCAGGTGTCACGATCTTCCGTGGGATTGATGTGCCCTCGCCACGCCGGATCCGCCCGGCACCAGAGAATCGGTGTCAGTCCACGGCTCTCTCGGGCCTCGTTCGGGATGAACCGAAGCGGGAACCCGCCGCCGGTGCCCATCTCCCCCGCAGGACCGAGGGCGCCAGGGCAAAGAGGGGGAATATCTAAGGAATATATTACTCTACACAAAGATCAGCATGGAGAGGATGACATTGACACTGAGGCCGAACATCAGGCCTTTGGGAGCCCGGCCAAGTGGTGGTGGTGGTGGCGGTGGCAGTGGCGGCGGCGGTGGCAGTGGCGGTGGCGGTGGCAAAGGCGGCGGCGGCGACGTGGGAGGGAGGCGTCAGTTGGGGCCAAAGTAATACAGGTCAATCTCAAAAAGCAGCAGGGAAGAAGAGCACTGGTTGCGGACCCAAACGCCACCGGGGCCCGGTGGGCACCGACACCCGCCGTGCGGGGTTGACAATCTGCCGGAGGCTGTCCCCCGCGGCCGAGTTGATGAAGAGGGCCAGCGGCCCGAGGAGGAACCCAAGCAACAGACCCCGGGCCAGGTCCATGAATGCGCCAGACTCCGGGCGATCAGCTGCACCACACACACACACACGCATACATGCACACGCGCAAACATTCAGGCAACCAGCATGAAGCGTTGTCAGCAGGCAGGCGGGAAGGGGGAAAAGAAAAAGCCCAGCCATCATCCCCGTCCTCGGGCGCATGCTCCCCCCACATCTTTTTGTGTCCACCCGCCCGGTCTCTTGGGAGGCGATGGCACGCACTGTCGGGGTTGCCGATCAACGCGCCGGCCGGGGCAGTCGGGGCCGCCTGCGGCCCGTCATCTGTACCCATCGGAATTGCCACGCCATCTGGCCCAGTTGCAGTACGCCCGGCGCCAGCGGCCCCGGCGCGTGATTCCACCAACGAATCCAGCCAGAGATCTTCCAAGCGCCTGCGTGTTGCTTGGTGGGCAGGCCGTTGTAAGTTTGGCAGTGGAGGGGAGGCGAGAGGAAAGAGGGAAGAAAGAGAGGGAGGGAGAAAGGAGCGGAACAAGAGGCTGGGGGAAAAAAAAGGGCAAAGAAGCAGCGGACAAAGACCAGGTCCTCACGCCTCGCTCATTCGCCAGGCGGGAACATACCCTCATCCGAAGCGACATAATGCCCGGCGGCGGGGGCGCCAGTGGCCGTGGCCCCATGGCCCGGTCGAGCGCCCGGTGCTGCCAGCGCGGCTCGATGTTCGCGCTCCATCAATGAAGCGGCGGCACCCTGGTGGAAGAGCAGCCGGAGTGCCTGGATTTCCGGATCCGACATCCCCGCAATCACTCGCAACCGATCGAAGCCCGTGGCAGGAAGATTCTGGTGGCCCATAACCGGCTGGTCAGTCGTCACGAGAAAGAGAGAGAGAGAGAGAGAGAGAGAGAGAGAGAGAGAGAAAGGGAAAAGCCCGGGGCGGTATTTCGCCGAGTCCCGCATGTGGCCACGTACAATGTCCGATGCATCACTTGCCGGGGCCGCGCGTTCATTTGACCCAGCCGGCCGCTCACTGATCGAGCATATCAGCGTGATCGAGTGTGTGATACGAGCATCGGTGCCTGCCGGGGCCGGCCAAGCCAGTGGCAACAGAGCCGCTCGTTGGCCCAGAATTCCGCCAGCAAAGATGAACCGCAAGTGACAGCTCTCCAGCCCGGAGGGTGGGGTCTGCCCGGGTGCCAGCATGTCAGTGGAGAAGACCAGGACAACCCCCTCCAGCATGGCGGTCAATCGCCGGTCGCCATCATGCCCACGCTCGAGATGCGGCACGTACATCATACTGGCCCAGTAGCTCGGCTGCCTGAAGCGCCGTATGCACTTCGCCTGGGGGAGGTCCACCACCGCGCAGCCACGCCAGAATCACCCGAGTATTGGCATGCGCCGCTGGCAATAGGAGTCGACAATCCGCCGGCGGCAAGTGCCCCGATGCTCCAGACGGGCGCTGTCCCGGCACCGTGCCCGAGAAGCGCAGAAGGACCTCGACAAAGCCAGCGTCTGAGGGTGATGGCGATGACGCGGTCGCCGCCGCTGAAGCCGGGGGTTGCATGTTGGAGAAGCAGGCCCGATCTTCTTCTTCCTCGCCTCCCGGACGCTTCCTCTCGGTCTTTCTTTGCTCTCGGCGGCAGGGGAGCCCGAGTCGACGCGAGCGTGCTGGGCGCCTGGGGCGCGCGCAAGTGCTTGCCTTTGTGGAGGCGCTTTGAGCCCGAGCCCAAGAAAGGGAGGCTGTAAAGGCGTCTGAAGCTGTCGGAGAGGCAGGAGAGACAGGAGTGGAGAGCGAGGCAGGAGTAGAAGGAAAAGGGGGAGGGGAGGGCGGAGGAGGGGGCGATGGGGGGAGGGGGGGGGAGGAAGAAAAGGAGGCGAACGAGGAGAGGGGAGAGGTGAAGAAGCAGTTCAGGCCAGAGGATGTCCTTCGGACGAGCCGGATGCCAGCACAAAGCCCGGGCGCGATCTGCCACCGGGGGAACGGGGTTGAATCGATCCGTTGGCACATATCGGACTGACACATGATGAGCACTTTTTTTTGACGTCCAGTTTACTAGCGTTTTCCTTTTTCCCCTCTCGGAACGGGCCCTCGGGCTTGGCCATGGGCTTGGTGGGCCTCGCATGCACCGGCGAAGCCTGTTCATCCGGAGGCTGACAGATCGCCGACACCCTGCGGAGGACCCCTTTCGTGGGTGGGCTCTGCTGGCATCCCGGCTGCCGGGCCCAATCGACTGGGTTGACGCAATGCTCCGGCGATCCGATGTGTGTGCTCTTAAGAACCACGTCATCATTCCGACGAGCTGGCCACTCCAGGCAGCCATTCCTCCCCCCCCCCCCCCCCCCCC